TCTCAAAGGGAGATGGAGAAGCTTACTCACTCGCTGTGATCTCAGTGAAACCAATATCCCCATCGTTATTGCAGCTTGCTGTGTGCTCCACAATCTGTGTGAGAGCAAGGGGGAGACCTTTATGGCGGGGTGGGAGCTAGAGGCAAATAGCCTGGCTGCTGATTACGTCCAGCCAGACAGCCGGGCCATTAGAAGATCCCAGCGGGACGCCCTGTGCATCCGGGAGGCTTTGAAAGCTAGGTTCCTGAGTGAGCAGGGCAACCAGTGACTTTTCAGTTTGTGGACAGAAAAGCTGAACCTGCCCCCGTTTCTTTACCCAGTTCATTTTGACTATCCTCTCCAGTTACATACCCCCTTCACCCCCTTCCCCTTCCCAAAAAATAAAATCATTTCTATTTTGTTAATTAACACCGTTGTCTGTATTGCTGTTTTCGCGGGAATATTTTAAACCGGGGACGCAGACTGTGGCGGGGGGCGGGTTTAGTGTTCTGATGCAAATGATGCTTCTAAACTCCCGGAATGACAGGCTCCGCACTGGTGGACTGGTTATTTCAATGGAGCCTGCCAGCACTCCTGGGGGGGACTGTGTGTATGTGTCGGCTATGTGACTTTCTGACAGGGGGGGTAGGGTTACAGATCCCCTGCTGCGTGGATCTGTGAGCCAGGATAAGGACCGCTGCATAAGATCTGTAACTGCCCTCCCCAGCCACAAAGTCACAGAGCAACCCTCCCCCCCCCACAACATGAAAAACACCTCCCAGACTGACCAGGGTAACCAGTGACTGCACTGTGTATGTGTCCTGATGCTGGACCTGACACCGCCTCTGTACCCTGCTAAAGGTCACTGTCCTATCCAATTACCAAGCCCCTTCCCCCCCTCCAGACAGACTCTCCCTCAAAAGAACCTGACTGAAACAGTAATGAACAGAAACAAACATTTTATTGCGAACCAGACATGAAACGTGGGGGGTGAAACTTGGACGGGGGTTTGTGTGAGGTGGGTAGGAAAGGACTTATGAAATTTTGGGGAATGTCAGCCTTCTAGTGCTAGAGCAGTCTGCAGGGGTTGACTGAAAGTTTTAACGGCCCTTGCCGCCCCTCCTTCTTTGGACTTTGGGTGAGGGTAGTGTGGGACTTGGTGGCGGGTGAGGGCGGTTACAGATAGACTGCAGCGGGGCTCTGTCCTCCTGCCTCCGGTCTTGCAGAACATCCACAAGGCGCCAGAGCGTGTCCGTTTGCTCCCTCATTAGTCCAAGCAGCTTTTCAGTAGCCTGTTGGTCCTCCTGATGCCACCTCTCCTCCCGTTCCATGACTGCTCGGTGCATTTGTGACAAGTTCTCCCTCCACTGTGTCTGCTGGGCTGCCTGGGCACGGGAGCAGTCCATTAGTTCTGAGAACATGTCTTCACGCGTCTTCTTCTTCCTCCGCCTAATCTGCGCTAGCCTCTGGGAGTGTGCTGACAGGCTGGGTTGGGAGACAGTCGCAGATGTGTCTGTGTGAATTGTAAAAAGGGAGTGAATTCCTGAGACAGATAAATGAAATTGTATACAAAGAACCTAGTCTTTCTCTGTGAACAAGACCATGCACTGCACCTCTCACATGCGCACTCAGGACAAGGTCGAATTTTCGGCCCTCGCCTTCAGTGCCTGTGGACTTGCGGTGGTCTTGGAGTGATCAGAGAACTGTGGCTGGAGACCTGAACTTCTGGAGCGGACAATAATGGTAAGCCGTAGACTTGTGGCTGCTTAAAACTCCAGCAGTAGCACTGGCCTCCTTTCACATTGAAAGCAATGCCAGTCTCTGCTGCCAGCAATCAGGACAGCATCAACTCTGCCCCTGTCCCACCCCCTCGCGGCTGTCCCAGGGAAAGATCCCTGTATGCTGCCCCTCTCCCTCCACCGCGTGGCTGTAAAGCAGTTCCAATACTAACATTCCCCTCCCTAATTCAAAGCAGGGCGTCATGAGCGACATCACCCTCCTGAGGATCCCGGACACCCAGAAAGAACGCATGCTGCGGGAAAGCATGCAGAAACCGGGGCCGTATGCCGCCATGCTATGTCGGGCCATGATCCCCGAGTACTTGATTGTGGCGTGGAGGGGACATGTCTGCTACCACGGAGGGCCCACTAAGATCGCCCTACCCCGGAACCTCATAAACAGGCTTGAGATCTACCTCCACGAGACCTACGAGGAGTTCTCCTACGAGGATTTCTCGTCAATCCCCGGCCACATTGACCGGATTTTCGCCTAGGTGCACTGGGACTATGGAGTGGAGCGTCTTGGGCCTCGGAATCATGTAGTAACGGACATTGTGAAAATTTTTTAAAATACTTGGGACTAAATTGAGAAGAGCCTAAGACAGAGAAATCATGAAAACCCATTTGTTACCTTTGTAAATATTCCTGTTTTGTACCTGATTATTTTTTACTAGTTTACAGCACTTTTATAAACATACATTGTTAATAGTATAAATATTACCGTTCTGTTTTAAATAAATGTTTACATGTTTACAGCACTTACTGCTTGATCCTTCCCCTGATTCTGTGTCCGGGGTAAGGGATGGGGACGGTTGGTACGGGATCTCGGTAAGGGTGATGAAGAGCTCCTGGCTGTCGGGGAAATCAGCGGTGCCAGCGCTGTCGACTGCCTCGTCCTCCTCATCTCCTTCTTCATCTTCCCCGTCCGCTAACATGTCCAACGAGGAACCGGCCGCGGACAATATCCCATTCTCGGAGTCCACGGTCAGAGGTGGGGTAGTGGTGGCGGCCGCTCCCAGGATGGAATGCAGTGCCTCGTAGAAACGGGATGTGTGGGGCTGGGATCCGGATCGTCCGTTAGCCTCTTTGGTTTTTTGGTAGCCTTGTCTCAGCTCCTTGATTTTCACGCGGCACTGCGTTGCATCCCGGCTGTAGCCTCTCTCTGCCATGGCTTTGGAGATCTTCTCGTAGATCTTAGCATTCCTTCTTTTGGAGCGCAGCTCTGAAAGCACGGACTCATCGCCCCACACTGCGATG